CCTATGAGGAAGCCTATGAGCCTATGAGAAGCTGAGCAGGATTACCCTATGAGGAAGCCTATGAGCCTATGAGAAGCTGAGCAGGATTACCCTATGAGGAAGCTGAGCAGGGTGCTAAGGCTCCTTTCATCTCGGCCGGCAAGGGCGTTCTTCAGAGTGCCTCTGCGGTTCAACTCCTGCATCACAGCCACTGTGACCTCTGGTTTCTTCACTCGAATCCAGGGCTGAGGGGGCGACACACATAGCCACACGTAATCAGCACAGATACAGAGCAAATCATGGTGCCTCCTGCTGGCTGAACCCCAAAACCCTATATCAGTGTGTCTCTCCCCCCACATGGATCTGAAGGGAGCAAAAACCCGGAGCGTCTAAGGGGTCTCTGAGGACCAGCTAGAGAAGCTGACTTACAAGGGCGAAAAAGCAACAAGAGAAACTCACCTCCAGAACCGTGTCCAGAGCTTTGGAAACCTGGAAGCTCTTCAGCTGCTTGTCGTATTTCTGCAGGTGCATCCTGACTGGTTTGCTGACCAGGAAATCATCCTAAACACAGACAGAAGAGTTACTACTCAGAACATAAGGTTCAAAACAGTCAACAAATATTATATCTAAATATTAATATTTACAGAAAAATGAGTGCAAAATAGTATTCTACATGAATTATCAAGTATTAAACATCCTATCTTTTTATATATTAAATAAATGAATGCATTTTTTAAATGTTGTAAATATTAACAAACATAAAATTAAATGCTTATAAAACATAAAAGGACATAAAACATGAGAGCAGAGCCATTGTGGCAGCACCTGCTTGGGCACGTAGGTCTTCCCCTTGACAAAGACCCGGTATGATGGCCGCCGCCGCCGCTGCTTACTGCCAAGCGCCTCCTTCTCTTCTGGCTTCCTCTGCTTGATGCTCAACACGCCATTGGTCATCCCAACCACAAGAGTGTTATCTTCAGGCTTCATACAGATGGAAAGCAGATGCTTCATTTAGAAAAATCTCCCCCCTCCAAAAAATATCTGTGGCTCAGGTAGCATGAAATTGTACAGAAATATGTTGTTCTCAAACATTGGCATGTGTACTATTGGTGGTAGACGAGCTCCCTCTAGTGGTTTGTGGCGGTACCTCTATTCAAACATCAGTCATAATGGTGGTATGCGGCAGTCGTAATATTTTCAGAGGTGGCATGTGGTGTGAAAAGTTGAGAAGCATTGCTGTATAAGATTAAGGAAAGCCACTAAGAATTATGGGACATGGTCATTACTCAATATACAACTGAAGCTGTAACTAGTACAGCAATGAAAAATAGGAGTAACTGCTTATCAGTAAATGGTAAATGTGAAGCTTAATTTCAATATCCAACAGCCCTTTGCCAAACCTGCGTTCTTTCTCCATCACACTGGTACCTGGCTGATCACTTACCGCCAACGCGATGCTCAAGATGGAGGACGCGTAGTCAAAGTTATGGACCACTTTATATGTTGTTGTGCTGTAGACCTTCACATGCCTGCAGGGAAAACCTGCATTTTACTAAGACATTCAGCTTCATCTCTGGAAGCCATAAAAAAAGCTCCACACAATCCTCAGTGTTGGACTATGACTTTAGGTTGGCCAGTTCCACAATAAGAACATATCTGTTCTTCCATATTAAAATCACAAAATGCAACAAATTATACAAATTGCAATATCTAACAAAGAGGAACCTATATCAGCATGTAACAGTTCCAGGTACTACTTTACAATAGTACCCTTATAAATGGTTCATGAATGGTTTATTATTATGTTATTAATTTGGTTGTAATGCTTTGTGAATCAGTAATGAACAATTACAAACAAAGTTTACAAACAAGCTACACACACACACACACACACACAGCACTGCGTCCCCACCTCACCCAGGGCCTCACCTGTCCAAAGACCCTGACAGCAGCCTCTGCCCCGAGCTGCTCATGCACAAACACGTCACTGTCTTGTGATGGTTCTTCAAGGACACCAGTGCCTGCCCCCACTTCAGCATGTCCCACACTTTCACATAGCGGCCACCTGCAGAAGAGAGGCAGCATGGGCCCTGAACGCCGTAGGTCGGCGGGTAAGATACCCAAAGCTAAACAGTAAATTTGTGTTGGCAAACTGTTCAACTAGGCAGCGGCACTGGTGGCCTAATGGTTAGGGAAGGCACTTGTAATCGAAAGATTGCTAGTTTGAATCCCCGACCAGCAAGGTACCACTGAGGTACCCTGACCAAGGTACCACCTCCAAGCACTGCTCCCCAAGTGCTGAATTAGCTGCCCACTGCATGTCGCTACGTCAAATATGAGTTAAATGCAAAGGACACAGTCCATGGCTGTGCTGTAGTATGTCAACAATGACAACTAATTACTTTCACTTTAAATTCTGAAAGCTGTAATCTAGGGAGGGAAAAACTTTTGTGTTTCTGTTGACAGTGATCTGTGTGTCAGGGGAGCCCACTTACCCGCCGAGACCAGAAGCCCCTCAGAGGGGAAAAGCAGGACGCTCTCTACCGGGTGCCCATGGTCCATGTTCATTATGCTTTTGTCTGTTCGCCCATCAAAAACCCTCACAGTGTGGTCGTAGGACCCTGCAGAGGCAGCGGGAGCAACATGGTTGACATGCAGAGAGAGCTCCACAAACGATGAGTCACACCAACGCTGCTCCAGCACCCAGGCCATGAGGACTGGAGGTGTACTTTGGAAGAGCAGCTACAAAAGCTCCCAGCTGGCCTATATCGCAGAGACACTTCGCAGATGTTTTGGTAAAATGCGCACCAGGTGAAACCCAACTGCGCAAGATAACAAAAGGTCCACCTTGCATGGGTGACAAATCTAGGCATTTAGCCAAAAACACCAAGTCATCCACAGGTAAAGTCAGAGAATGCCACCGACATATACCGTAACATCACTCACCCGTGATGAAAAGGTCGGGATTCAACTTGCTCGTTGTGCCGCAGCGAATGTAATCAGTGTGCTCATTGTAGCAGGAAATTTCAGCGGAGCTGGGGATGTCCCACAGTCGACACGTGTAGTCATCCGACCCAGAGAGTATCCGATAGCGGTCCGACGTGAAGTCTGTGACGTGTACTGCCCTGTTGATTTGGATAAATGGAAAACGCATATGATCTATATATATGCAGAACGCTCAAGTTTGTTTCGGGATGAAACTAGAAGTTTAGAAGTGAAAGCCGCAGAAAGCACCAATACCCAGCAGACAGTCAGGATGAATCAATAGGATTATTAGGGCAGTGCTGTGTCCTTACTAGGGTTGCAAAGGGGCAGAAAATTTTTGGAAACTTTCCAGAAACTTTCCATTCCATGGGAAGTTAAACTGGGAAATTTTGCAAAAATTCCAAGTCTGGATTATTAATGGGAATACATGGGAAAAAACCCCAGTCCTTACACCTCCAGGGGTACAGGACTTCATTCCCAACCCCATGTGCATGGAGTGTGCGTGTTCTTTACATGTCGTGCTGGTTTTCTCCAGTTTCCTCCCACAGTCCAAAAACATGCAGTGGACCAGGTATCTCTACACTCCCACGATGTGTGAGTGTACCTGCCATGAACTACAATCCCATTCAGCTTCTACTGGCTGGAAGTGGGTGGAAGATGGATTACTGGATTGATTGAAATTACCAGTACTAAATTGGGTAGAACTGAGAACCAACTTTCATTAGAAGTATTGCATTTATTAATTATACAAGTGGTATGTAAATTCTGTGAAACTTCAGACACACAGGTCTCAAATTTACACCCTGTACTGTAACTATATCTGTAAATTGAGAAGCAGGCCACATCGTGGCTAAAAACATACTTGGAGTGTCCAGAATACTGTCTGAGCGGCACCTGGCCGTTGACGTCGAAAAGCTGCACCAGGGAGTCCTCACTGCCGGCCACCAGGAGCTGGCCGTCAGACCGGAACGTGCCGCTGTATGCTGTGTCCTTGAACCGCGTGAATGACTTCACTGGCTCCTGAGAGTACGGGCCATATATCTGGATCTGTAAACCAAAACACCCATTTTATTTATATAGTTCTTTTCAAGATCTCAAAGACACTTACATAGAATAAGGTAAACCGATTAAAATAATGACAAAACATTATGGATAGGGAAGGTTACACACTTCAGCAAACAAAAGGAGACCGAGATAGACTGACGAATAGCAGTGTGGAGGGAGCTTCAAAGTCAGGGAGCTAAACAGAAAAATGCATGATCACCACAGCCGTGACGTTTGTAAAAGGGAGATGAGGAGAGAGGCAGAAAAGTAGGATCCATGACTGGGGGGAGGCTGGAAGGGGAGAAGTAGTTCAGAAAGATATGATGGGGCCTGGTTATTAAGAGCTTTAAACGTTAAGAAAAGTATTTTAAAGGTGATGCGTTCTTTTAGAGGGAGCCAGTGCAAGCCCTGAAGCATGGGAGTGATGTGCTGATAGGAGTGAGCGTGAGAAGGCGGGCAGCAGATTTCTGGATTATCTGAAGTTTATGGAGAGACTTAACAGTGACATCAGAAAGTAGTGAGCTGCAGTAGATGAGACGGCTAAAGATATAGGCGTGAATGAGGGACTCGGCAGCAAATTTAATGTTTAAGAAAGATTGTGGACTTGAACAAAATGTCTATGACTGAGGTAAGAGCAGGAAATGGAAGAAATGCAGTCTTTCCTTGATATGGCTTATCGATCTCTTAAGCAAAGTGACAATGAATTACATCAGTGTCCTATTTAGACTTTCCACAAAAGCATGAGATATTTTAAAATAACTTAACAAAAGATTAAAAAGAAACAAAGTAGGAGTGGGGTTTTAAATTCCTAATTTCCAGCCAGGGATCGATAAAGTACCATCTTTGTCTCTCTAAATTGCATAATGAAAACAAGATTTCTATTCATACTCTCCCAATATGGTTTTTAAACCTCTAATAGAACAAACTCGTGCAGTACTGCAAGATTCAAAAAACCTACCCTTGTTGATGCAGTGACTGCATAATTATATGGGGAGGTGGGAGAAAAGTCTATGTTCGTGATTGCCCCAAATTCCTTAATCTGGACAGGAGTCTGTAAATAAACACAAAGGTGAACAGTGATTAAGACAAACAAAAACTGATAGTTACTCAGAGCCTAAAAAAGCTTTGCAAATTACTTTAGTATTTCACAAATTAAGTCAGCGTGCGCGCGCACACACACACACACACACACACACACACACACGCACACGCACACGCACACGCACACGCACAACAGGAGCAGTATTCAAACACCCAATCTGGGAGGTGTGAAGGTACAGCAGTGTTTCTCAGCCCGGTCCTCTGAGCCCCCCAGAGGGTCTAAGTCTTTACAGATAGTTGACGTTTTTTCCTTCCTCTCAGTTCCCTATTGTCTGGGGATCCCCAAGGACCGGATTGAGAAACGCTGAGCTATGGTAATAACCACTGGGACACCATGCTTTATACCATACCTTATAATTTCTCCAGTACAGTGTGTCCTGAGTAACCTTCTCCCCAAACTTAGGATAGCTTGGAATTCTTGTGGGTTTAAACGAAGCCATTACAAAACTTGACAATTTCCAATGTGAGCATAAGCTTTGCTGGGCTCACCTAATAGAAAAAGAGCAAAAGCATTATTGTCACTGTCAACATTTTATCCTTTTTTAACTTTTTATGTAATGCTCGAAAACCAACATAGACAATTTATTCGTCTCTTCCGTCTCTTCCTTAAACACTTAACCAACTTAAAGAGAAGTGCGAGCTGTACGTTCATAATCATCCAATAATTTTCTCTTGTGTAGATTACTATGTCGTACATAAAGACGAGACATAATATAATCAGAAAATAACCTAAAGATGCCACTAAACAATGGGACAGGCTTGTTCACAAAAACGATCCATTAACTTTTCACAACTTTATATGTGTAACTGTCCACCGTTCTCATTGGCTCAATACAAAAGCGCTGTAGATCAAGCAGGAAAAGCAGTAGGGATTATTATTATTTGTAGTGATAGTAATAATAGTAGTAATAGTAGTAGTAGTAGTATGTTTTTGTGACAAAATACAAGACCTTAAGCCAAAGTGGTCCAAGCGCGTGGTGTAGGTAATGTTATACATAACGGGTAAATGATGTTCAAGAGGAGGTAAACCAGCATCAGATCAAGCAACCAAGATTTACCTAAGCAGCGATCAAAAATGACCATGAATCACATTAAATTTGGTACAAGATCTTCGCAGACATCATCAATCCGCATATTTCCGCACGTTAAAATACCTAAAGGATTAAGCCCCAACTTCACACCGTTTAATTTATCGGTTTTTAAATCGGAAACAAACTGCTTACCTAAAATGAGTTGTGTACTGGATTGGATATAAAACGAACGCGACAGTTAATTTTATTATAAAAATATGACCTAAATTGCAATACCGAGAATCAGCTCCATTTAAAGTTGTCACGTTGTAAGCGAGCTGATAGAGGCAGCCATATTGCTCTGCCAAAACTTCCGGTTCAAATGTAAATTTAACTTTATTGTTCAGACAACTAGCGGACAGATTTCAACTAACTTTATTGAACAGCCGCTCAAGAAGGTTTCAAAGCAACAGTTTTTAACCAGGCGGTAGTCTGTAACAAAGGTTGTGAATATATTCGACAGAATGGGTCGTTGACAGGTAAGCAGGGCTGTTGATTTTTATTTCGGGTATTGTTGGTAACTAGACAGGAAGCAGCATAATTGGAGTCGTTCACGTTTTGAGACATTTTTCAAATCTAGCTAGCTATGTGCAGAGTCTGCAGGCTATGTTTGACCATTTCTCTGCACGGACGTCATTGACCGTTACTGTTTTCACGTGTAGATCATTTCGGATTTGAGGATACAGACGTACAGTTCAATTATCTGCATTTACATATGACTTTTAAGACCACAGTTTTGAATATATTCGATATCTCATGTAATGATTTTACTACATGCTGGATCGGCTTGAATTTTGGTGGAGGGGTGGATTAAGTGCGTTTTGTCCAAGTGCTTTTAATTTGGACATAATTCTTGTTTCCAGGGTTTCATTGCCTTTCCCCATGGGTTCCTTCCCGTGTTGAACCTACAACAAAGAGGATCCATCTACAGGAATGGACATGGCCTCGGCAGAGAATCAGAGGGAGTGCCAACTGGACCCGGAGGAGATGGAGGGCATCTGCGTGATGCCAGGGGTGGGTGGTGCCATTAAGGCAGAGCACCAGGTGGACGTGAGCACAGAGGACCCTGGCTCCCAAAACGTGGCCATGGGCATCAAGTTCATTCTGCCCAACCGCTTCGACATGAATGTCTGCTCACGCTTTGTCAAATCGCTCAACGAGGAGGACAGCAAAAACATCCAGGATCAGGTCAACTCAGACTTGGAGGTGGCGTCTGTCTTGTTTAAAGGTACACAGAGCTAACAGAAAATTATGCATCATGCCTGACATGAGTAGATCCAAAAATGTATGTGAAAAATAAGATGTTTTATGGATATTTCAGGTAATTTTCAATTTTGTTGCACATATCCTCATTGCAGCATTACATCCTAAGTTAAATTGTTAAAAAAATCATAATACTTCCATTTAAAATAATACTATCACAGCAGTATTAATACTTGCCAATTCTGAAATGTCTATTGAAAATGCAGCATTATATACAAATATTTTGGATTTCATGGTTTCTGCAGGTCCTTAAAAAGCCTGAATTCCAATAATCTGAATTCTAGGCCTTAAAATGTCTTAAATACAAATTTGACAGGTCTTAATTGATCAGATTATGAGGTTAGCATTTCTTTTTAAAAAAAAGTTGCATTCATCTAAGTCTCAATTTTAAATGTGTTCTTGGAAAAAATTGTAACAAAACTACAAATGGAAACCAACATGGATCTAATAACCACTATCAACCAGAGGTGGAGATTTCAGGTCCATATAGTACAAATCCAGACCAAGATTTAGTTTCGATTAACCAGTTCAGTATAAAGAGTCACAGAATACTCATTTGCCTGGTTGAAACAAAATCTTGGTCTGGACCTGAAATCTCCACCTCTGCTAACTGCAAACTGTAACCTGGTCAGAATTTGTCAGAGTACACCCAGCTAAAGTGTCGCAGTATGGTGTGTGGATTAGTGTAATGCATTCATGATGGTCTTAAAAAGGTCTTATAAAGTCTGAAGTTTTACTTCTTGAAACCTGCAGAAACCCTGAATTAAAAAATTCCTGCAAATAGCTTTGTCAGTAAATAAAATGAAAAAAAAGTTTGTTTTTTTTGTTCAGCCCTGGGCTTTTTTGCCTTTCTTTTTGAATCACCCTCGTCACAGCTGAATGTAACATTCAGACTTCGCAGTCACCGGGAATCCAGGTGCGACATGTCTACACGCCGTCCACTACCAAGCATTTCTCTCCCATCAAGCAGTCCACCACGCTCACCAACAAGCACCGTGGCAATGAGGTCTCATCCACGCCATTGCTGGTTCACTGTAAGTGTGCTTACATTGATGGCATGTATCTATTTGCTGAAGTATAGCATTAATCTTAATTTATAATTGAAGAACAAATTTCCAAAAACTCACTCAGTCCAGTCACTCTTGGTGAGTTTTAGAAGTTTAATAAATTACATGAGGCATTACATGAGGACTGAGTTAGTTTTGGTTTCCAACACTGTAACATATGATGAGGAAGCCTGACTTTAGGTCACCGGTGTCTCATTTCAAAAACATCAAGATATGGACATAATTTTGGAAATTTGTTCCTCAGTTTCATATAGTCCTTGAATGCTCCTTGAAAATGAGTTTGAGTAAAAAATGTTAATATTGGTAATTTTATTCAACAGATGAAAACTTGAAGGTGCTGTTTTGTCTTTTTCAGCCCTGTCTATTCACCAGCTGGCCGCTCAAGGGGAGATGGTGTTCCTGGCCAGCAGGATCGAACAAGGTGAGCTTGAAATACTTAGTGATGTTTAAAATGTTGCTGTCTGCTCTACAAACCACCCTGTCAATATGTGTGGCTGCTGTTCTGAAGTAGTTTCATTTTGCTCCCTTCTCTCAAACTTGACTGCTTGCACATGGCGTATCTGTAAATGGAAGATGTAGCCCTGTGTATCGTCAAACAGAGACGGTGATCAACCTGCAGGATGAGGAAGGATTCACCCCTCTGATGTGGGCAGCGGCTCATGGGCAGATTGCCGTCGTGGAGTTCCTGCTGCAGAACGTGAGCGGCTACCGCGGATCTGTTCTTGGAGTCCACCTAGCTGTCTGTTTTGTGAAGTCGCCCTTTTATCACAGCGTTTGATTTTGGTTGCACCACAAATGCCGCATCCTGTTATTGTCCATCAGGCCTGACTCGTGTTCTTCTACCTAGGGTGCAGACCCCAACATCCTGGCTAAGGGGAGAGAGAGTGCCCTATCACTGGGCTGCAGTAAGGGCTACACTGACATTGTCAAAATGTTAATTGATTGTGGCGTGGATGTTAACGAATATGACTGGGTACGTCTTTCACATACCTGTAGAACTTTTTCAATTATACAGCCGGTTCAATTAAATAATTGTTTCATGGTAAACCATGGTAAATTCCCTACAGTTAGTATTACCGTTTCAAATTATCATTAAAACCACAGCTGATTACCTTGCTTTGGAACAATTCATGGCAAATACTGTACAGCATCAAAGAAAGTTAGCCAAAGTCTTCCAGACGTAGGTGCACAGGCAGAGCATGCAGTGTGGGCTTGTTTTGTGCCAGTGAAAACATGGCGGAAGGCAGTGACAGCGCTCCGGAGATTTTGAATGTTAATGCACATTTTATATGGTTTTCATATGCAAACAAAAGGTCCATAGTGCTGCTAATATTATTTTTAGTTTTCAGTATAAAAATTGGTGAAATGATTCCAGGTTATTTTCAGCACATTTTAATAATACTGTTATAATACTGATAATTTTGGTCGATATAATCATGATATAAAAATTTTATACATTTTCATCTGTAGGAATAATATGCCAGATTGCTTTGTCAGTATCTGTAGCATTATTTTAATGTATAGTTTAGTTTATAGGATTAGGACTGTCCATTGCTGGTCATTTGACGTCCTGGATAGGCATGGCTAGTGTGATTTCATATTTAAGGAACATCCCTTGTAAATTTCAAGATGCTGAAAGCATTAGCAATGAAAGAGCTGGAAAGACCAAATTTTAAAATGCTCAGGTGTAATATGGTATTTGAACTTCCTTCTCAATGTAGAATGGTGGTGCCCCTTTGCTGTATGCCGTTCATGGGAATCACGTGCGCTGTGTGGAACTCCTTCTTGGTAATTATGAATGGATTTATTTTTACATATATGTAAAAATGCATACATTAATTTGACAAAGTGATGTTCAAGTGAGGCAGATAATACAAGCACATAGTAAAAGAGGAGTAGCGAAAACACTAATTTGAAGTGACTCCAACCTGAGGTTTCATTAGTTCTCTTATATTTTTGCATTTTAATGCTTGACTTTTATCTTTCACAGATAGTGGAGCAGATCCGACTATTGAGTCTGACTCTGGTTTCAATGCCATGGACATGGCAGTGGCAATGGGCCACAGAAATGGTAAACGTCTCACCAATTATAAATTTCATATTTTAACATCTGATTGAGTGGCAGATTAATTATAGGACTTGAATGATGTTGAGGTTAAAATGCTGCATTTGTCATTGGTATCCTGTCAGCTGATTCGGGTGGTTGAAGACAGGAAATGGCAAAGATTTCTTCCATGGGTCATGTGCAGATTGCGACACCATGCTTACAATAATGCAGTCGTGTGAAGTTTTCCCTGGTTATCAAATGGGCCTTGCAACTCTTCGGAATTAATTGGAAAATGGATGATTTAAATATGTTTTTGAATACTAATAAACCAGTAAACACCATAAGCTTTCTTAATTTCTAAAATATTATCATTGTGTGTATTGGTGACTTAATCAGACATTGTACACTTCTGTTCTCCATATCCCTGTGCTGATCTTTGATCACCTCTAAAACACACAGATCTATTGCATTTTAGTTAATGTGCTGCACCGTTTCCTTTACCAGTTCAACAGGTCATGGAAGCCCATCTGTTAAAGCTTCTACAAGGAATTAAAGATTGACTGTGAAGAATTGAAGTGAGAGCAGAAATCAATGGGTGTACTTCAAGCACTTTAAATCAACAATCTTTCTGCTTTTCATTGGTATAATATAAACATTTTTGTTTTCAGTTACCCTTATTTCTTGGGTACAGGTGCTACATACATGTAGCTATTAAACAGCACATATTTAAAAAAAAAAAAAAAAAAAACTAATTATTACATTGACAAAGTCATGTGTAGAAGGTTCCCATGTTAATTGTTACATTTTAACAGCCTTTAAAGTATTACTAATATCTTTAAAAGTTGATTAGACCAAACATGGGAAAGTTTGTTTTCCAATTTTTCTGAACAAAGGACTAAGTAAATGTAATTACACAATGAGACTTACTTAGCCATGTTTAATTTCTGTGGTTGCTGAAGTTGTGATATTGGTCGTGATATGTGTGATGTTTTGTGTCATATTTATTTTTGCGTAGTTTGGTGTGAATTTGTGATTTTATTTTTCTTTTTGTGTAGCATACATCCCTATCTTAGGGGTGTCATCTATGCATGAAGGGAGTACAGGCGACAGCTAACACTCATTTTTTTTTTTTAAATCTAATTGTTTTCGGTTAGAAACAAGCAGCAGTTAAGCAGGAAACCGCTTATGAATGAAAAGCAAATTCAAGGCACTGGAGTTGGATGGTGACATAATCAGTGTTAGACTGATTAAGTTGTAATTTTGGTATGTGTTTTATACACAAGCATGCTGTTTTTCAGACAATTTATTAAAATCATTTAAATTGTGGGTTTGTGTGTCAGTTTCTGATGAATTCAAGAGCAGTTTTTTTTTAATTAACTATTCCATGTTTTAAATAAACACCTGTGTTTAAGGCAGGTTTTCGCTAGGATATTAAGTTTTCATACAGTAAATCACAAAAACACATTTGTTTAAATAGATGTAATTTTGTATTTTGTTCCCAAAAGAACAAATATCAATAGTTTAGTAAGTTACACATAAAACACTCCCAACAAATCCTGTGTTGATAAACTTACTTGGCATTTTGTTTTAATTCAAACGTACAACCCCCACACACACCATTCCTTAATGAATAGCATGAAAAGTAACTTGATATATTAAACAGTCTCTGAATGCATTGCTTTGAGTTTTTTCTGAAAGTTCTGAATATATTGTAAATAGTATACACATAGTATGCCACATTCTTCACCTGGAACTACCAATACAAATCAAGATTTTTCTGATAATTGTGTACAAGTCAATTCACTGCACCCAGTGTAGAGTAAGATTCCAGATAATAGTCCAAGTGTTGGCACTAATATGACGACACCTTTGTAAATATCTGAGGGTCACCGTAACTCCACAGTGCACTGCACAATCCAGTTACAAAGTGACAGTGTTAAATACATTGCCCTGAAAAAGCAAAAATGTAAAACTGCTTATTTTTCATCAAGCAAACTTAAGTGTTACTGCGGACAAATGGAAGGAAAAGGAAAAGGAAATTTGGCTTATCCAAATGTTGCTTCCACTTGAACATTTCAAAATATAATCTGGTGTTATATTTACTAACAGGAGATACCAGAAATATAAGCAGAACTGAGTAATTGGTGAAATATACTGGAATATCATATGAACAAGCAATTTTTAAAGCATCATACATGTGCCCTAAAAATGGGTGGCAGACAATAGTGGTTAATAAAAAAAAAACTAATTCAAGACCATCTCTAAATCAGGTCCTCTTCAGTTCGCTTCATTCTTCGAAGCTTCATCGAAGGTCCCCACAAGAGCTGAAGGATCAGAGTTTTCCTGCGTTATGTCCACTGCAAGGCTACTGTATTTCTTCAGTTACTTTGTTAAAATAAAAGCATCTCACTACACAGCAGTACAGTATATTACTGGGTATGTGACAAGTGAAACTTGAACTTGAAAACGGTAACACATTAAAAATTGGCTCAACACAGATCCCAGAGGACAGAAGATACAAACGGTGGAAATGAGTTTCCTTCACTGGATATCTGGGCAGAGCCACTGCTGCTCTGCATCGAAAGGAGCTAGCTGCGGTGGTTAGGATATCTATCTAGGAAGCCTCCTGGATGGCTTCCTGGGGAGGCGTTTCATGCATGTCCAACCAGGGGGAGACCCCAGGACAGTCCCAGGACACGCTGGAGAAATCTCTCGGTTGCCCTGGGATTGTCTGGGTGTCTCCGCAGAGGAACTGTGGAAGGTGGCTGGGGAGAGGGACGTCTGGGCATTTCTGTTGCCCCTGTGTCCCAGACCCTGATAAGCGGCGGATGGATGGATGGATGGATGGATGGATGGAAGGTTGGTTTGAGGTTGAAAGCTCATAGATGTTGTCTCACCTTCATTATTTTGAACATGCCAGTTTTATTAAGAGCACACCACTGACTGTAAAGTCCTATCATCATACACCTAGGATAGGCTCCACCCTCAAAGTACTTACTGTATATGAAACTACATTCCATGTGTTGACAAAAGTAGCAAGGAGCATTTTAATTATCGTCAAAAGGCACATCCGACTACAAGTCTGCTATCTCACCTGGAACTTCTTCATCATCCTCACCAACAGCAAGGGGTGCCCGGCCATCTCCAGCTTTTCACACAAATGAAAGCAAAGAAAACATGTTTCAAAGGCTGGTACTATTCCAAATGCACCCAGTAACTTTAGCTATAAATTATATAAATATGTTAGTATTAATATAATATGTTAATATGTTTAGAAAATTGGCCAACATTTATATAGCTGGTATATCTAAAAGCATAATGTACCTGCACCTCAAATGTACAAATCATTTAATAAAAATGTATTAAAAGTATATTGTCAAAACAATCACAAAGTTGAATAACTGATTTTCATCTTTTGACATGAGCTGCCTGTGCTTCAACCGGCAGAATACCAGACCGTGGCATAGCGGCCATCACCAGGGCCCCCGCAGTACACTCACCCTGCCTCGGCAGGGCCCCGCACCGCAGTACACTCACCCTGCCTCGGCAGGGCCCCCGCACCGCAGTACACTCACCCTGCCTCGGCAGGGCCCCCGCACCGCAGTACACTCACCCTGCCGAGGCAGGGCCCCCGCAGTACACTCACCCTGCCGAGGCAGGGCCCCCGCAGTACACTCACCCTGCCGAGGCAGGGCCTCAGCCAGCTTCCTGAGGCTGGTCAGGCTGTCAGCACCGAGCTGATTCAAGATGGTGGGCAGCATCTCTGTCAGCTGCTTGGTCTCCGCGTGACCCGTGACAGTGAACGTATTGGCAGCCAGTGACGCCTGCACTTTCGGGTTGTTGAAGTGGATAACAGTTCCCTGGTTTGTGAACATGTTAACCTGTGGAACAAAAGTGGTTACTGGAGACCCTAGAAAGAGACTTTTTTTTTGTTTAATGGTCTCACAGCCAAAGTTCATTTTGCTTTGGATCCATGTAGATACATTTGTTATAGTGAGTTGAGTTTTATAAGGCTGAGACAAACTAATTCAAAACAATACCACATGTAAAAAGCACAAAACCATTCACCTCCTCAATGCCAGAAATATTATTAACGCCAAGTTTCTTTAGGGAGAACTGAAGCTTCTTGTCATCTGCAGTTGCTGTTCTGTGTACCACCTTCCTCTTTCTGCGGGCAGTACCCTTCAAACCAAAAAAAATAAATTGACAAGACAATTTTATTTATTTTTATTTATATATATATATATATATATATATATATATATATATATATATATATATATATATATAAAATAAGTATCTCAGAAGTACTGATAAGACCAAAGCAGTCCATACCTTTCCACCTATACGGACTTGCGCCTGCATCTTCGCAAGCTTTTCCTGATTCATGATGGTTTCTTTCATCTGCGATAAAAGCAACAGATCATTAACCCCACACTGTTTCTGGACTTTTCTTGTATGCAAGCATTTCTTTAAAAAAATAATCTAACACCCTCTCCTAACACAATGCAAGCCCTACTACATAGAGATCTCGATATAGTGACTGGTTAAGTGTGGTCACTTGTTTTTTAATATAGAAGAAATGTCATAAGTTTCACAAGTTAAGCAGGAGTTATAAGCTACAGAGACCATCAGTGACAATCAATCCTGCGTGTTACAGACAGTGACAGATAACTCACCATCACATAAATTCTTGAAAATTAATTCGCAGGACATCTCTGCCTACATGCATACCAATTTAGCTGAACAGAAGCACCAGAACGTTGTTTTGCCGGTGTTTGCAAATGACACATGGTTAGTTCAAGTTAGTAAATTAGTTTATACAGGCAGGAAGTTAAATTGGTGATAAATATCAGAATACCGCAAGTCACGTTTATCGATAAGGCAGTCAAACAACCGCAACGTAACCTTTTATTGTTCAGATAAATCTTAATCTCGGCTGTACATGGAACTAATTTAACGTATTTACATGTTTTATATATACTCTAGTTACTTTCTCATTACACGCAGGCCATCAATTCGATTTGAACACGACCTAGCCAGCTAGCTGTCCAATGAGGCTGATAAGGAAAATAAAGTAATTTACGTTCTTACTGGGGGGGGAAAACAAAGATATGTCAGAACGTTAGATATTATATACCGCATTTTTAAATGTGATAACAATATGACACAAAGCTGAAAACAAGTGAAATATATCTGGAAAGCTCATACACACCAGATAGCAACCTGGTTAAATGCTAGCTGGTCAGCTACAAAGAAACAGGCTGTAAAAATAGCCATGTTAATAACATTTAGAACTGAATCAATGAACTTAAATACTTCGATCCCGTCATTCAGCTTTATGTGCTTTTATCTAATAATGCAAATATCTCCATGAGTTCAATATCTTGCACGTACCCTTTATAGTAACGAAGAGTTTAGCGAACCGGCTACAGTTCCCAGCGGGAATCCAGAAAGGCGCATGTCTGCGCATGACCGGAAGTTATTTAAGGAAAAGCATCATAAGTGACAATAACGAAGCTTGGTGCTGTTATGAGCTGCGTTAACTTAATTTTCTTTTGCTCCAATTGAATATTTAATTTAGGGTGGATTTTTAAAAAAAGTGAAAAAAGGATTACTGAGGAGGTCTGCAATTTTAAAAGAATATTTATATTTATACCACTGGAAAACTAGGTTGTAGACTGAATATGTTGTGTCACACCACCTTCTTATTATGTATTAAAGGTAGAAAAAAAATATGCTACATCTACAGAAAGATTTCTGTCCGTAGCAAAATGGTGACCGTTATAGTTTGCCTTATATAACCATCAAAACTGCTCCAGAGGCGCTGGAAGAATCACTGTCACCTCTACCAGTGTCTCTTGGGTAATGGGATATTTAACAACAGTTGCTTTTGATAGCAAATGGTGTCAAGCACTTGAGCCTTGAGCAGTGCTCATTAACCAGAAAGGCTATGGTGCTTCTTAAGTCACCTACATTATTTAGAAAAGCGCTTTATAAATAAATTACTTACTTACTTAGTAAAGAGTTTGTAGAATAACATTTTGAAAAATCTGTATTGGCTATGAAACATTTATTATACACATTCTAAAATCATACCCAAGCCATGAAAGCTTTCAAAATCATTCCCACTCTGTCTCTTTTCTAGATATTAAAAAAAAATGTTTTTTCTGTTTTTCTTTCTGACAAAAAATTAATAATTAGCCAACTAGTTTTTGAGCAGTTCAAGTTCAGTGGTTTTTTCCGTGTTTCATTTTCTACATTACGGGCTGTACCATTTATCACCCCAGCAGGGTGAACTACCAGGAAAGCATTTGATTGGCTGAAATTAGCCAGTTGGTCATTGAATTCATTGGGTGCTCTGAGCTCAGATGCTGTACGCTTCTTAACAGTTACTGCAAGCCAAAATCAATTCAGACATAATAATAACTACATTTTGCATCTACTTGTCACTTGTCAAAGTCTGAATTGCTAACCAATGCTGAAAGTCTAAGTCTGGAGTATATCGACCAGTCACTACCAGGGCTTTCAGAGAATATCCAGAATCATAATAGGGAAAGACAAGCAGGAAGCAGGAGAACACCGTAATCTGATTAAGGCGGGACAGTGTCATGCGGGACATTTGTGGGCAAAAGTTAATTTTCTTTTTTACTTTGCAGGGCACGACACAAATACATTATAGAATTATATAAATATTCAGCTAAATAAAGAAAAGCTAAATAATTGATGTGTGATGTCCAGGGATCTGTATCATGAAACTTGATTTTTGGGTTAGCAAGATAACTTGTTTGATTTAAGGTAGTCTGGGCTAAATGTAGGGGAACGAAGATGAAGTCCATTTACACTGGGGTACCTTAAATCTGACAAGTTATCCAGCAAACCAACAAAACTCTATTCATGATACAGCGAGTGTCAAAGGGGCGTGGATACCCTGACAGAGTTGGGGGAGCAGCACTTCACAGGGGCCCTTGAATATGTAAAATGACATCATCTAAAAGGGGACTGGGGGGGGGCATCGGATCCCTGTACAAATGGAGCCTTAAGCCTTAAATCCTTTGTTAGGTTTATTTCTATTTCGGCATTCAAGGATTCATTCATGTATGGGTCTGTGTCTGTGAATTATATATATATATATATATACAGTATGTATATATATATATATATATATATATATATATATCAAATTGCAGTCTGGTTCTTCCCTGTTTCTCATTAATGAAGGGCTTCTTCCTTGCTTTATGGGACTTCAGTCCTGCTTCTAGAACCCTGATACAAGATGTCCTAGCAGTGCACTTCAGACCTGCACTTAATGTTTCCCATTCCTTTTGATGGTCATTTGACGCCATCCTCCAATTCATGAGAAGCTGTCAGATGAGCTGAAGCTCATCTCTGGCATTAAGTTGCTCCTGCCCTCTCCATCGCTGGTTTTTGTTATTGCCAGTGTCTCCTGCTTCACGTTGTTCTTGCGTACTGCTGTCTTAGAAACTTTGAGCCTGGAAGCAGCCTGCCTTGCAGTGTAGCCTTCTGCCAGCAGAACCAGGATTAAACCAGGATTTACAAATGCTAATTGGTTTAAAAATATAAAGTAGTCCAAGTTTTTTCCGCGGCTGCCATTACACCTAATTTAATTTTTTCCTGTTTGTGTAGCAGCATGACTAGTATAGAATATGATTATTTGCATTTTTCTGTTCTAGAACAAGCACTTATTCAAGGGTCCAATCAATTCATGTCCTTTACATTTATCAAAGTAACAAACACTGGGGAGACATAAATAACTACAAATAAACAGGTGAGACTAGCCCTTAGCCAACCTCAAAGCCCTGAGCAGAGGATTAAGAGCTTCTAAGCCACACACTCAACCACTGAGCTAATGGGCAACCTGGGAGGCAACAGGAGAAACACACTAGTGCTCAGAGACAGTGGAAGAGGGAACAGGAAGGCCAGCCACCTGCTGGTCAAAACAGAACACATAGAACAGCGTCAGATGGGCAATGTAATGTCAAATCGCAATAAGGTTTCAAAAAAGTTTCTGGATTTGGTGTAAGCCAAGATACTTCACAATTGCCATGTGAAAATTATAAGGGTTACAACAAAAAAAGATTTTTATAGTCTGTCCAAGAACCAAACATTAACACAGGTCAAAAGACCATAGTAGCCTCCCTGGAAGAGCTCGCCGACTCCCGCTGCCTCTCCAGGTCCAGGTCCATTCTCAAAGACTCTGCCCACCCAGCCCACCATCTGTTCAACCCGCTTCCCTCCGGCAGGCGGTTCAGGTCAATAAACGCCCGCACTACAAGACTTTCCAACAGCTGTTTTCCCTGGGCCATACGTTCACTTAACAAAAGCAATATTCCTCTGCAGACATTGGGCACCCACCACCCCAATCCCCCCCTCCCTCCACCGTCTGCAATGATTAACTGTGTCTCTGGAAATTGTATTTGATCACTTTATCCTCATCACCTTCGCACTTTATCACCAGGCACTTTATAGTCTGATGCTGCTATGTTTGCTACGATGTTACACCTTTGTGCAGGGGAGTGTCTTGTTTTGGCTGGAAGGTAGGGACTAATGTTTTGGGTGAGAGGAGTGGTGAATAGGCTTGGAGGGAGTGTATGAGTGAGTGAGTGTGGGCTGCTTTGGGGTTGAGGAGAGGGTGGGTGTGTGAGAGAGTGAAATGGAAGGGTTTTTACCTGTCTGTTACTTATTTATTTTTTTTTTATACATATTTGTTATTTTTCAACTATATTAGTTTTGAAGCACTGACCAAAAGTGGCAACTCTAAATTTCGTTGTGTTTGATACCATGTATTTTATGCAATGACAAATAAAGCTTCTTCTTCTTCTTCTTCTTCTTCTTCTTCAAAGTGATCCTATGCATTTTAATGAAAGTGTCTAAATACTGTTTGCCATGAAGTATTTTCAACCCTCTTCTTCTTCTTCTTCTTCAAAGTGATCCTATGCATTTTAATGAAAGTGTCTAAATACTGTTTGCCATGAAGTATTTTCAACCCTCTAACATATGGATATAAATATTTTATCCATCCATCCATCCATTTTCGGCCTCTTATCTGGGGTTGGGTGGTGGCGGCAGCAGTCTAAGCAGGGATGCCTCTCACCAGTCACCGGCTCCACCAGGGGAATCCCAAGCTGTTGCCAGGCCAGCTGAGAAATATAATCTCTCCAGCGTGTCCTGGGTCTGCCCCATGGCCTCCTCCTGGTTGGACATGCCCGTAACACCTCCCCAGGGAGCCGTCCAGGAGGCGTCCGAGACAGATGCCCAAACCACCTTTCGATGTGGAGGAGCAGCGGCTCTACCTTCAGTCCCTCCCGAATGTCTGAGCTTCTCACCCTATCCCTAAGGCTGAGCCAAGATACTCTGCAGAGGAAACTCATTTCGGCCATTTGTATCCACAATCTCATTCTTTCAGTCACTACCCAGAGCTCATGACCATAAGTGAGGATGGGAACGTAGATTGACCAGTAAATTGAGAGCTTTGCCTTCTAGCTCAGAAGAGTACAGAACAGAACAGTACAATGTCCACATTACTGCCGACACTCACTGATCAGTCTGCCGATCTCCTGCTCCCTTTTTCCTCTCATGAACAAGAGCCCAAGATACTTAAACTCCTCCACTTGAGGTGGCAACTCATCCCCCACCAGGAGAGGACAATCCACCCTTTTCTGGTCGAGAACCGTGGCCTGCAAGCCGCCCCAGTGAATGCTGCAGGTCACCAGCCAACGACACCAACAGGACCACATCATCTGCAAAGAGCAAAGATGAGATTCTGAGGCCCCCAAACCGGACCCTCTCTATCTTCACCCAAGTGTCCAAAACATATGGATGCAAATCTGACAATACAATTACAAAATCAATCATCGAATTGCGGCCTTGGATGCTCTGGTGCCAAGTGTACTTATGAACACCCTCATGCTCAAACATAGTGTTTGTTATGGACAAGCTGTGATTAGCACAGAAGTCCAATAACAGATAACTGCTCGGATTACAATCAGGCAGACCATTCCTCACAATGACATCCTTCCAGGTTTCACTGACATTACCCACGTGAGCAGTAAAGTCCCCCCGCAGTATATTGGAAAGCCCCTGCCCTCAACTACCCCATCTAGATTGCATCCGGTCCCCACAGCTCCCCCTGCAGGTGGTGGCTCCTCAGGAGGACGGACCCATGTTATTTTTTCAGGTTACGTCCAGCCAGGCCCCATGAGTGGAGGCCCAACCACCAGGGACTCGCCCTCAAGCCCCCACCCCAGGCCTGGGTCCAGGGTGAGGTCCCAGTCTCCCCAGTCCAGATGGGGTAACATTGTCCCTTGTTTTATTTTTCTTCATGGGGGTACTTTGAGGATGGCATGGTGGTGCAGTGGTTAGCGCTACTGCCTCACAGCAGGAAGATCCTGGGTTTGGTCCCAGGTCCGGTCCCAGGTCCATTCTGTGTGGAGTTTGCACGCTCTCCCTGTTTTCACCAGGGGCTCTGGTTTCCTCCCTTGGTTCAAAAGCATGCAGGATAGGTTGATTGGTGAGTCTAAACTGGCCTGTGAGTGTGACTGCCCTGGGTTGGTTTCCACCTGCACCCATTGTTCCTGGGATAGGCTCTGTGACCACAGTTGGGATTAAGCAGTTTCAGAAGCTGGATGGATGGGGATACTTTGAATTGCATTTAGTATGACCTAGGACCAGTTTGCCTTGGGAGACCCTGTCAGGGACAAATGCACCTAACAACATAGTTCCTACAATCATGGAGGCACACAAACCCCACAACCATGATAAGGTGGTGAATCATATGTATAGTATACTGTGTAATAAGACTATATCATCTTTAAGTCATATTGTTTGGTATTTTTAACCTTTTTATCACCATTTTCTTAGTTCATTATTGTTATAACCTTTTTTGTTATAACCTGCCCACGCGACCACTTAAGCCTAGGCAGGCCTGGACCTGGTTTGCCGAAACTTTATTAACACTACGTCGTTCCTAAGTTCTACTCAAATTGTTTAAACGCTCCAAAGTGTTTCCCTGAAACGTTCTTGAGTTAAGTACATCTTCCGTAAGATTTTCTTTTCGTAAGGTTGGTCTAAGCCTCTCTTAGCTGTATCTTATCGCTGTTGTCGGCTCATACTGCTCATTTAAAATAAGACTAACTTCGTTAGGGGTATAGTTTCATAACCAAGCATCACTGAGCCATATGATAAACTGATTTTGTCTTATACACGATTGCGGTCGTCATTAGGTTTCGTCCTTGCACTATGAATGCGCAACGAATCGTCCTCAGTTAAGCGCGTATTCACCTTGAAAGATAAGGAACGCGCTCTTAATTATGCATTTATTTATTAATAGGGAAAGGTGGGGTTCCGATGCGGCTTTAACGCGCACACCTTTCTAAATGTGCCAAACTTTCGTTCATGGGGTTGATAAGAGTCGACACTGCAGGTTCATTTACATATTTATCTAATATATTTTCCCCAAAAAAAGCACCCTGGAATAGTCATTTGTATCAGCATTGAAGCACACAGGACATTCTCTTATATTAAGACAGTAACTTTTCTTTCGGTTATTGTGCCATTTCTAGTCTCACTATCGATGACATGCAGACATATTCTTGCACGCAGGTGTTTTACAGAGCAAATAAAAATAAACTGGTGATATAATATAATCGAGAGGCCGGTTTGTGCACCCAGTCGACGAAAATCATATTTACGGGTAGATAAATCAATTAGTTAATTTTGCATTTTATTTTTAGTTTATCCACAGTACTGATAAATGGAATATTTTGACCTATTTCTGCAGTGTTATATTTATAAAGAACACCATTTTCTCTCATGCAGCAGCCAAGCAGTTGCAGCATTGAGGTAATAATCAATTATCGAGCCATCGATGTCAACCAATCAGGTGTTCCGGCGCCCATTAAGGTCGCACTTAAGAAGCTCTCCCTTGAGCAACCTTGGTGGGGAAATATACGTTTAGGAAAACAAATACCTTTCGTAAGATACATATTTAGAGTCTTCGTAAGACGCTGAAAGCCACCGTTATCGGGATACCGGGGCCTGTTCTTTAATCCGCCCTTATTGTCTCTCTACTGGAAAAAACTGTTCAAATTTTACTGTGACATTTTTGGACTAAAACTCAGGCCTTCTCCGCCGAAGAGCACCAGTATATGCCCGTATAATGCTATGGACCGGGATCGGGGGTGGGTTTGGCGTTACTTACAGTAATTTACAGATTGAAAGTCGTAACCCTAACTACAATGTAACACTAGTAATTGGCTTGGCTTGAAATGAAAGCAATGGTTGTTATAGCTACACATTACGTTATTGTGCTTGGGTCCTTGCACACCTTGCGCACCTAAAGTCGCTTATGTGAACTGCAAGACAAAAGTGGTTGACATCATTAACGTTCAATTTGAAATTTTAGCAGACATGCGCCGCAAGATGGTGCTCTCCAAACGTATAACTTGTTAGTATCGCGCTCAAAAAAAAACGAATAAAAGTATATTTCTTACTAGTGGCGAAAACAACAATGAAGCAAACACACAAATACAATGTGTAAATGGTTTAATCGAATTTGTGCCCCTAATATGCACGCTCCATCAATCAGAAAGGAAAGAAATTGTTGGCTGTCAAGACCATTACAACAGGAGAGTAGGTTTCAGGCAATAAAGAAAATTGGATTACGTGTAAAAAAACGGCTTAATAAACATATAACAAGTGATATTTTTCTAGGTCAAATTTTCATGATTTTTACTTATAGATTTGAAATATTCTACTCCCAATGTAATTACTAATTTTTACAAAACACCGCACGTTTTGTATAAATAAAAATATAGGCTTTGATATTTTGTGTATTAAAAAATAATTTATCAATTTATTATTTGGAAAATATTTTCCATACTACATTTATTTTTAACTATTTTTTAACATTGTCTGCAACAGTATGGCATCCTCCTTGGATCAAAAATAAGATGTCTTCTCTTTCACTAATATTGATATGAAACTGATTGCAGTTGAAAAAAATTACCTAACAAAACTGCAAATTAGAAATCGCGGTAAAATCTCGGCACTGGCTGGTTCACTACAAGTTGTACTTTCGGGCATTTCGGATACTGAAGTTCCGCTGCATGCACTTGTGTACATTCTTAATAACAGAATCCATCGAGGCATTGCCCTGCTCCTACCAACATTACTAGAAATTTCAAAAAGGTTTAAATGAACATTTTTGGAATCCAGACAATAACTGGATTAATCAAATAATAATGATTTTTTTAAACCCAACGCTGAGTATGCCTTAAAAGTATGTCAATTTCATATTTTTTCAAATTTATTTTAATTTTAGATTAATGTAAGTTACAAAAGCATTATTCAACAATGACGACAACAATAAACAACAATATCAAGCACAACAACTATAATAATAACGGTAATGGTAATAATAATAACCTTGCGTAGATGTGGCACGTAATACCTGTTTGCATATATTATCCTTAAAGCATAATAAATTTGATTTTTGTTCTTCCATATATCACTCCGCTAAAAATCAAAATTGCGCTGGCTAGCTGCTTGCTAATTTTGAAAAACATCAAATAACATTTTTGTGGTTTTAATAATTATTCCAAAACAAAAACACAGCAAATTCGTAGTACTTTTGTTAAATATTATATTTAAGCATACACAACATTAATCTTGGCCATTAGCATTACAAATATCTTAAATTAAATGATAGATTTAATCTTCTACGGGTAGTGAATATGGTGCTTAAACCTTAAAAAATCGTAAGTCCCGTGACTATCGAATTTTAAGCAAGGATGTTGTCTGCTTGAATTGTTTTTAAAAAGGCTTGATAACTATGTTGTGCTGTAAAATGAGAAAATCCAGACAAAGATTAAACTTTGCAATTCTGAAAACACAAAAGTAAAATATGTGGAGTATTTCCAGTGAGATTTTTGATTCTTCATATATGTAAAATAGTTTCCGGTTATTTTTATTGAAATAAATCTATTATTATTATTATTATTATTATTATTATTATTATTATTCGAGTAAAATTAGAAGCAAAGTAGAATATTTACTACCAGTAAACATTGGCTTTGTTGTCGGTACTTCTTTTTCATCTTAAAGAAGATTCAGTGTTTTTTAAGTAGGCCTACCATTTTAGAATAAAGGGTTTACGCTAACCATATAAATGTACCAAGATAACCACCAAAAAGGAGTGTAACTTTTTTAATCTTCCACAGTTCTTTGGGTATTTTTCAAAGAGCTTTTCTTTGCTTTTTTTCTTCCCCACAATTGGCCTAGTGACGTTCCATGCCCATGTGATCATCGTGCTTGTATATATACCAAGAGAAGATCCGCCCTATTTCGGATTCAGAACTGGCCTTTTTAAGTGCTTTCCTTGCCGTAAATTACCGTTTCTTGCGGATGGCGTCTAATGATGAGTTGCTGATCTTCGAATACCCGAAACACATGGTATTCAGAAAAGAGGACTGCGGATTCATTGTTTGCTTTTTTCATGACTGATTCCTTATGAATTCTTCTAAAAGGAAGCTACATATAAATTGTATTTTTTTAATCAGCTTTCGACACTGAACGCAGTGAGCCATGACTTTGAGCTCAGAGATGTCCGATGCCACAATCCTTTCGGAAGAAACTGATATAGATGTAGTCGGCGAGGGAGAGGATGGAGACAGCCAAACGCGGTCCTATGTGCACGAGGTGGCCCAGATGCACGACGATATCCTGTTGGCTGGGTCCCCGCAATGCGCGGATAGTCCTTCATCCCGGGATCCTTACAAACCAGCTAGCAAAAACACGTTAGTTAAACCTCCTTATTCATACATTGCCTTAATTACTATGGCCATTCTCCAGAGTCCCAAAAAAAGACTCACGCTGAGTGAGATCTGCGATTTTATCAGCAACCGCTTCCCTTATTATAGAGAGAAGTTCCCGGCTTGGCAAAACTCCATCAGACACAACTTATCCTTAAATGATTGCTTCGTAAAGATACCGAGGGAGCCCGGAAACCCAGGGAAGGGCAACTACTGGACTTTAGACCCGGAGTCAGCAGATATGTTCGACAATGGCAGCTTTCTGAGGAGAAGGAAACGCTTCAAGCGGCAGCAAACGCCGGACCTGCTGAGGGATCACGGTAATTTTATCCCCGCTGCTGCATATGGCTACGGACCCTACGGCTGCGGATATGGCATTCAGCTGCAGTCGTACCACACGCATTCAGCGATTTTCGCATATCAGCAGCAGCAATCCCGACACTCACAGCCTGGAACTATTATCCCTGCGCCTTCCTTAATACCTACAACGACTGATCTGGCAAGAACCCGTTTTTATCCACAACTCAGCCCGAATCTGCCTTCCTCTTTACAGACTGCGACCAAATCGAGTTCCCCAGCGCAGCGCTCTCCGTTTTCCATTGAGAGCATCATAGGGGGATCTTTGGGTTCCTCTAACTGCGCCTCGCGGACTTCGCCAGTCCTTCCCATCTTATCTTCCTCCCTCAGCACGCAGTCGCCTACGCTACGGCCGAGTTTACACCAAGGAACCGCTTTACACTCTGCCGAGAACTTTCCGAATCGGATTTCTAATGGAACCAGTGCTTGTTAACTGTATAAAAAACAAAACAAAGTTAAAAAACGCTCCTCGCTGCAGGTAGGAATATTTTTGTATGTTTTTGTTACAAGCAGCTGAATGACGGACATGAACACTAAATGTGCCTATATTCAAGCTGTAAAATTTATAAGAATATATTTATGTATGCAATTTAGTTTGAATTAAATGTCCCTACGAATTGTTCGACTTAAATAAAGTGATCCACATAAATCACTGTTTTGGAATCTCAGGATTACAACTTTATGAACAGGTTATATAAATTGTGTCACGTGTCTAAAACAATGTATTTCTTTTTTTCTGTAAAAACACGATTGTTTTTCTAGGCTGACAAACTGACACATTTTTATTGTTTTACTTTGTGCTTTATATTCAAAAGACACTAAAGTGAAAGTAATACATTTATATGAAGTGTGTGCTTATTTCAGTAATAAAATATTGTAAATTCTTTGCCAAATATTGTTTTATGGAAGTGTGACATTTTTCCACATTTTGTTTTTCAATAAGAATAAATATTGTTTTCACATATTCAAATTAAATTGACTTGGAAATCATCTTATTGTTAAAGTGCGTGGTAACGCTCGGTTATGAAAGGTTATGAAAATCTACTCCGTTAGTCGTTTTAGTGAGTGCTTTGATTTAAAGCTTTAATAAGTGATATAACGTTTTAGTCGAAGGATATACGACACGAATTAATATATATATAATTAATTGAATTAAAATTAATTGAATTAAAAGTATAATCACGAAAATACTTTAATAAGAAACAAATGTATTGTCTTCTAATACAACTGACTAAGACTAGTATTACATAAACTGCCTTTGAATCATATGATATATATATAAAGTTTTATATACTTTATATATATATATAAAGTGTTGAAGTTACATTTCAGTTTAAATTGCGATGGTTATCGTTTAGGCCTACTGCAAAATCTGGCTTTAAACATTAATGTCAATCATAACCGATATAATCGTTCAGTTAAGACACCCGTAAGCCTAGGCCTATAATCAAATTCGCTTGATGTTTCACTTCGACAATTGAGTGCAAAACACATTTTAACTAAGACCGATCGATAGGCCTGTATGCACTTCGCATAAATCTTCTTTTAACGTTTTTTTTTCACAGGCAAAGACGCCGAGTCAGCTTGATCAGATTTTTGTCAAAAGTTCTTTATAATCCGTTTGATATTACGTTTTTCAGGTTCAGAAACGTATTTCTTGCCCAATTTAAGAAACTTGTACAGATTTAATCAATCCTTTTACCGTTCTGAACTATGTAAGGGAAAACATGTTGGGAAATGGATGCTTATACCTGATGTTTGCGAAGTCACCCTCAGTCAGAAGAAGAGTGACCGCACCATTACTTAATTAGCGGTCTTGAGCCGTTGTTAACCAAAGATGATCTGGGCCTATTTGCACTGTGTTCCCCAAAGTAAGGTATTGTTCCTTTTCATGAGACTGGCGCTGTCAGGCTAGGCCAGGTGTCTCGCTGAAGCCATCGACGCATTTGTAATAGGCCCATGTGATTGATTTTTCTGTAACAAATTATTTACTTGAAAATAACACTGCTCATCATCAGCATGTTTTGATATAATATTTTTTTTTTTGTTAAAGTTCTTTGATCAAATGCTTATGCTATATTGGCGCTGTATGTCAATAAACGAGAAACGATGCACATTCAAATTGGCATTAAAATGCTATAAGCATTTCTTAGTCTGTTTAGCAGATAGACAACGTCGACTGCCAAATGTAGTACGGACGTTCACATTTTCAGCATCGTTAAGTGTGAGAACTGCGTTTGGAACGGTATTGAATTTCTGCTTGTTGGTGGTTGTTTCTGTGATGAAAACCATCTGTGCACTCTTCAAAAACAATACCCCTATGCATTACATATTTCTCATACATTAATATGTTAGTCAAGAGGTTAGCCCTACAATGCCAGAGGTTTATATTAAACTCATAACTCCTTAGTCTCAGAGGTAATTTTATTGTTTTATACTCGTGTTAGTAATTCAAGAGTTTATTCTGCACTAATAGGCCTAATATGACTGTGCGGTGTCGGTATTTGTATAACCCCCCAGATAAGCAATATAAATAGCCATTCTTTTGTTCTCTTTTCGAATAATAATTCCCTGTAAAATAGAGCCAAATTAAGTAATAAATTGCGGTAAATAATAGCATTGTTGTTTAAAACACTTGAGTGGAATGAACGGTCGTTTCTTAGCGTTTTCTGTGAGCTGGGAGCACGTTTTACCGACGGGCTGATTCTGCCTGCTTCTTTTGGTGCTGAGGAAGCGCATAAACCCAAGCACATAGTTCACTAGGCCACAGGAGAACAGCTATGATGTAACACCAGGCTGAGCAAAGCGTCCCTCTCACGCTGACACCTTGTCAAGGCTCCTACAATACTTGTTAGTGTAAAAAAGAGAAAATCTGTGTATTCACCATGTAGCACGACGTTGCTATCAGCATTATTAAGCAGAGCTTTGCTGTGCACCTTAGAATAAAGGATATCTTCATGCCGAGAAGGGTGGGAATTGGCATTACTTTGCACAATTATTGTTATTTCGTAGATGCTCTCCCTGATGTTTTCCTTAAACTGCCCCAGTACTAATCACCAAAAACAGACTTGGAAAAGCGCATTTACACAAGCGCATTACATATTCACGCTTGAAGTTTCGATGACCGCCAGCAGCGAACAAATGTTTGTGCGGAACCTCGTGTTTTCCTATATTTCTGTCTGAAGGTTTTGTCATTAGACTTTTTTAATCTTAAGAATTTGTTTAAAACTTTCACATATTTTGTCACTTTAAAAGAAGAATGGGTCTAGGGGTATCAATACTTTTGGTAAAAACATTAGCATACTGTCGAAGTAATACAGCCTAAGTTTCTATATGCGGACGCGACCAAGTAAAACATTTGTTGTTGTTTTGTTATTGGAGTTATTATTATTATTATTATTATTATTATTATACTTGTTTTGTTGAGTTAATCATATTGTAAAATTGGGGGGGGGGGGGAATAAATAGCCTTACTTTTTGGAAAATCCGTAATCTTCAAAGGGGCATAATTCAATCTATCCGTCTACAATTTATTACGATGAGTTAAATTCCCTGAAATGTAATTAATCTTATTTACTAAAAAAAACATACTTTGAATATAAATATCCAACTTTAAAAAATCTTTTAGAATTTTTTAATGTACGCTAAATTCAGGATCAGTTCCAACAGATGTGTATGTGATGCAAGTTTGCCTAGTGCAAGATTATGATAATACGTCAAAACAATTATTTTCACCAGATAAATGGACAAATTTGATGTTTTGCATTTCCTATTGTGCATTACAAAAATGAAAATAAAAGTACAATGGCATACAATAGACTATTATAGGCTTTAATAAATAATTTGATCTTTAGGCTATTTATACAGTGATTGCGTGATAATCACCATTCTTTGACTTTGTAAAACGGTTACTACAAAGCTCAGATTAATATCATATAAAATCATATGCGATTGTTTGTTTAGAGCAACAAGTAAACTGTATATCGAGTTTATCCGCAAATTAATCAGCTTTAGCGTTTGGTACAAAACCTACAGCATGATATAAATATTATGCTATTGATCAAAGTAACATAAAAGGAAGGTAACATGAAAAGACAGATTTAGAAAACCCGCCTAGTGTCTCAACGTATCAATAATTAATATTTTGTAACGACTTTGTTTACAAAAGTTTTGTTGCATTCCTCGGGAGTCATTTTTTTAAATTACATTTTTATTTGCTCTGATGTGACGTAATAATGAAACTTTATTTGCCTTGAAATCATTTTTTTAAATGCTTTGCTGATCATGCAACGGAAACAGTGGTGATAGCTGAATTATTTCTATGCTTGTAATGTACACGTTATATAACGCAAGCCGATAATTATGAGCAGGTAGCCCGTGAACCATCACTGTCCAGTCGCTGTTCTGGCTATGTTCCCGTTAGGTTGTTGATTTTGCTAGTATAGTTGACCTTGCCCAGTGCCAGGTGGCAGAGGCTGTCCTCTGCTTTGGTATGCCTATTGCCTACTTCAAGTTTTGTCTGTGTTTTTACACCTGCGCACGTTAAAAACTCTAGTTTGTAATTTATTGCTATTTTAAACTATCCATTACCGTCTAACCACCTACAGGACAGTTGGCTTCCCCCCCCCGGGATCTCAGGATGACAGCATCCGCAATATTGACGAGTGTGTGTGTGTGTGTGTGTGTGTGTGTCAGTATGTCAGCATTATATAGAGGATGATTTTCTACATAAGAAATAGCAGTGATTTTGCGTGTATACTTACAGTACACGAAGCGTCTGCTGGTATTTAAATCAAATGCAACTACGTTAAGAATTTAAACTCATTAACGTCCTCATTGATTTAATTTAATAATAACAGAAATAGCAGTACAGACATATTACAACATTAAATTTGTTACGCAAATCCACTACTAATTTGAACCACTCCACAGAACCGCCTAAAATATGAAGTTTCAAAGAAACAGGACGCCATATTAATAAGCGCGAGGTTATTCGAATTGTAAAATGTTTTCTTTTGCTGACAGTGTTGTTAATCATCCTACAGGATGAAACAGCACAATCATAAAAGGCATTTTAAAAAGTCCGGAGTCCAAAGAGTCACCCCTCTCCCTGCTTACGGTCATCGTGACTCGCATGCAGTCACAGCTGCATTCCACAGGCAGCTTACCCGGTCACTCACAATAAAGTCTGAGGGAGAAATTTCTAGAATACAGTGGCAATTACAGACTTCCTAAACAGTATTTGTGTGGTATTTATTAAACAAACAACACCGTACTTGATTAAAGCAAAGAAAGTGATTATTGAAGATTATATAAATTGTTTAGACAGTTTCGACTTTTTTCCGCTCCTGTTATGAAGCATAACGGTGCTAGTATTTGAACAGAAATCACTTCCTCAGTACCTCAGTGGAGTTAAGGTCCCATGGAGGGATGTAAGTTATATATTTTTTCTAAGCACTCTTATCCACGCTCTGAAAACAATGCTGACTCAATTAATATACAAGACATAATTCGAGTGAACATTTAAATCCATTAAACAATATCGACTTCAATGGGAGACATAATCGATAATGACCAAAACTAGATATTATAAAAATGCACTTTTATCTAAAATTATTATGGACCATTTTTGTGCTCAGATAACAATTCTGTGACTTTCAGTATGAGCTTATGTTTCGCCTTAGAGGGTTTAAAAAAAAATCTAAGGTCAAGTGTCATGTTTATGGGATTAAAAAAGCATCAAAAGCCCAACACAAGTCATTTGATTTTTAGCCAGGATCAACGTAGATCTTGACAAGAAAAATGTTTTCTTTTTATTATCATAGGATTTTGAATGGCTGATTTTTAAGCAAGTCAAAGCAGTGGTATATGACTCCTATTTGTTATTTATTGTGCCGTTCCTTGTTTTT